AAAAAAAAAAAAAATTTGTGCGGTAGATTTTTTTATATTAGCAAATCCGTATCGCCAATTTAGAGAAAGACTACCACGTTGCGTCGAAACGTATACAAAAAAGGAAAGAACTTTAGAAGACTCAAGATTGTTGTGAAGGATTGCGAGAATAAAAGAATCAAGCTTTGTGTGAACTTCGAACCTTGAGCTCCCGAAATATATCCAGTTTTGCCAATACCCAGCAACTCTCAAGATTTCCAAAACGGCTACCACCAGGTGAAAAGAGAGCCCGTGGGATAAATGTGCAGCTACGATGCGGAATCGGGGTGGGCTCTTGATTCGAAGTGTGTCGTGCTAACAATACCGTCCTTGATGGAAACAGATTTGAATAGCACTCGTTGTTGCGAGACAGAGCAGCGGACTTCTGAGCTGAAGAGGACATCACCTATGATTACATGGACGCGATGTTCAGCGAATGCTAAATGCTGTTCTCTGAAGCCAATATGAGGGTGCACTATGAAGGTGGCGGCTGGAGATTTAAAAAAAATACCGCTTTTCATCTCGAAAGAGAACTTGATAAGCAGCCACTGACTAGCATAGTGACCTGGTGTTGACGTTGGTATACTCTAAATGACGAACTTGGGATCGTAATTGGGTCCCTTGTATGTGTGGTACAAAGGAACGGCACCAAGGTCCTGGATCCATTTGTCTGTTTTGAAGCTCGGGTCTCCTCAACAGATTCATTTTTTACGATACACAAAACTGACAACAAGTTGAGACGATACGCGTCGAGGCTGGATTTATATGCATATTGTTGATCCATATTTTAATTCAGAGACAAACTCAAACGAAGTTCGACTCGTTAGCAAGCGATTGTATGGGTATGAAACCGTGATGATATCAACGAACACAGGTAAACAGCATACAATGTTTCTTTTAGATTATCCACAAAATTCGTCTCCACACTTTTTCGTGAAATTTAATTGTTTATATTCAAAACATTATTATAATCGTTTTTAAAAACGTTTATAAATAATAATATAATACCTCAAGCAAAGAGGTCCGGCTTTGAGATTGTTATCTGGCATTAGATCATATACTTCAGGCTAGTGTCTCGTGTGATATCACGCTTAATCCATTGAATCCAGCCAAATATACATAGTGAATTTTCTCATAATTTTCAATACCTTCCACTTACAGACAAACGTTCTTGCTTTTGGTAGCGATTTCATTTTGTCATAGTCTCTGAGAAAGTCGCAAGCAAGACAATTATGTATTGTATGTTTTTTTAAATTTGAAGGCCCTTTTCTAAAAAAGAGCTACGTCAGATGAAGTAATTGCTTTATATAAGTGAAGCTACTATTTGATCGTCGTATACTAATTTTTGATTTTTCTTCTATTAGCAGAGTTCATAAACAATAGCACACCAATTAATCACTATAACTTTCAAATGCCCAATCTATAATATATGCTTCTATTTATTGATTGAGTTCTGCTTCAAAACTTTTGGCGTGAATTTAAATATCAAGCTGAAAATGTCAAAAAGTATAAGAGAATTTCAAATCGTAAGAAATCACTTGAAAGCACATATCCCAAAAAATCCTTTACGAAACTCCACCGTCCACATCAAATTCAGCTCTTTTGTCATTTTGGGTAGTATAATGCTTGCATTCAAAACAATGTAGTACATACCCCGCTACAATACTCTTTAAATGAAAAACACTTGTTTCGATCTTGACTTTTCTGCTAGGGCATTGCGAAGTAGCAAAAGCACAACAAGCACTCGGATGAACATTCGCTTTTTGTCGCTCACAACTAATATAAACATACATAATTCCTAAATTCTTTTCCTTACGTGCCCTAATCTGGCTCAACGAGTCTCTGAAAAAGAAGCGATCCATGTGGCACGTGAATAAAATGCGATTCTTGATGAGGTATATGTAAGTGGTCATAGCAATTCTTCAAATTTTTGCTAACAACTTCATCTTCACAAATCGACAAACGATAGTAGCGTGTCTAAGGAAGGGGTGTTTTCGATGCTATGTCATTCCTGTGCGAGTTACATTTTTCGCAACTATTCAATACGGAAGGAAGAGCTGCTACACTCTACTGTGGGTCTCAGGGATACGTCTGTTCGTCACCCATCAGCTAAATTAAAATGTCTTTGAGTGCGAGAGCCGCAACAACTTCTGCCAATCTCATCACACCGTGGTTATCGTTTTATGCCATCCGATGCTTCTTGCCGCGTTTAAGCGTAGTCCATTCACACCTAAGCATGCGGGACTTCTGCTCAAAGCAAGGCAACTTGATCGCGCGAGAATCGCTCTCCGAGTGCTTGCTAACTTCCAGGTCAGTATAACTTCTTGGTACAGTCCGCGGTTTGATTTTATCCTTATAAGGGCACACCTTGTTCATTAGAGACCAGCAAATGCGCCGAAGAGCATTGCATTTAAATATGCGCTGACTTTACAAGCCGGCTTCAGCGACGTAGATGTCCGGCTAAAGCGTCGCTCTGTGGTTCATTTTGCGAAGAACGAAGCAAGACATGGCCTTAGAAAATTTGCTCATCACGTCAATTTCTTGCGATTAACTGCCCCGCTCAAATCTATGGGGTTGTTATCATCATTATATTCTCACTTCCTTAGATACCTGCCAAGTATTGAATTTCAAACACGTCAAACATTCCATGTTTGTAGGAAGCTGCTTCGCCGAGCAACTTTGCCTTCCCTCCAGAGGAGCAAAGGACCGACGGTACACCAGGTCATGAAGTTTAAAGGCGCCACGGCAATCTTGCCGAAGTGAGATATCATACTCGGAAGATCTTTTGTTGTGGGCCTGTCTCTCCCATATCACCAGTTACGGATTTAAGTACAATGAATAAACCTTTGCACATGGAGCAGTCCCGGCGAACAATTCTCCTGCGTGAACTGTCTTGATATGATGGCTAGTTCATTCGCTTCAAAAATTGGGACGATACGGCTGAAAGCCAGTTTTCTGGGTGTGTATTCTAGCTACGCTATTGCACGGGCTAATAGGCACACAATTCCGTCGATACCAAGGAGGACTTTATGCTGTAGAACCCTAAGGCAAAGGTAGCTCAGCTGTAGCGGATTAAGCGTGATGCTGCTTGATTTCTAACAGCTTTTATTACATCTGTCTGGCTTGTAAGAGCGCGATCACGATATGTCACTAGCAAGCTCACATAGGTCACAGCATGTGTTTGCGTTCTGTTCGGGCTCGAAGGGTGTACCTCGATCCCCTTTTTGCAACGATCTCATGTAGAGTGGTCAGCAGTTATTGTTTAAACTAATGCTTAGTTATGTTCACTTTCTTCAGTGATCGACTATATGTATTTCCAGCTTGAGCTTTGAACCACCTTGTCGGTGGGTATCTATACCGTAAAACCTTTCATCGGGTTTTACCAACTCCAAATGCAGCCAGTTTTTCTTTAACAAGGATTATTCCTATAAGCTCGGTTGCCAATGCAAATAGAAGCTGTATTTGTAAATTTAGCTCTCGCAGGCTTTACACATCCACTAGAATCTTTCAAACGCGATGGACATGGCGGCACGGACAATGAAGCATAATACATCGGCTCTCCTCGAGCCCTAAGACCTTAACACCAGCGTCAAGCACATCTATTTTTGGCTCATATTCTCCCTTCATTTACCGCTCCATTGAAATGTTTGATTACCTGGTAGGATGGGTTGCATGCTGCTGAAAGAAAGATCGAAAGTGCAGCACCAGCGTTAGATTTAATATGACGGATCCATTACTACAGCACAATTGATATATGTGTACAAATGAATTCATGACCGTGACCAAGTCTAAATGAGTGTGGGGACAGCGCTTGCTCTTATTCCCGCCTTTTGAACGTTAAAAGAGGAATTTTGTTGCCTCGATGTGAATGTTAACGTATGCACTAAAGAAAAGAGGGTGCATTATTTCGAGTTCCCGTACAACACACAATGATTTTTTATATCTTGTTTTGAGCATGGTGTGTCTTTTTCTCACTACCATTTCTTGGGTTTGATTCCACTCACCATGCTGTGCGAACTTTGTGTTGTAAATCTGCTGATGTTAATGTACACAAAGTTGACATAATTCACAGCACCTTGCCTGTTTTATTGGTATCGATGAGTTAATGAGCACCAACAAGGGTGATTTGTCCGCGTGACGAAGCTGAGTGCTGTTGTCCGGGGCTGCTTGCTGTTCTTGGCGCCAAAGAGGCAATGGACATGGTGGCTTCTGCTTTGCAATTAACCCGAGCCTTTTGTATTGGCAAGAATATGTTTATATGTATGCGTCTTTTTGAAAAGGCCACTTTTCAAATGGTCTCAATATGGCTTTGTGAAATATATAAGAAGAGCCTAAAAGGTAAAAAGGTTGAAATTTTGTGAGTATAACACCAAAAAAGCTGGTGTATTATATTTTTAGCTATGTTCATTGGTTAATTATCTTGATTTGAATTCTGGAGATCTGACTACTGACTCCCCTTTCAAAAATGAAGACATTCTCTCAAGTGACGTTGCTCGTGCTGCTTGTCTTTGTCGTCATCACAGGCGTTTACTTGTTCTTTCAGAGCGCACCCAAAGCTGTGTTGTAAGCTACTTATTACATTTTAAGCTCAAACATTGCAGCTTCATCTAACGTATCAATCATTATTATCCGAATTGTCTAAAATGCAGCACCGAGTGCGAGTCTATTTCCATATCATACGTGATTCGCGGCGTTTTACCTACGTGGCTAAATGGGCGCAATGATAAGATGGGTACGGTACAGGGGCTTTGGCAGTGTGCTAGTCAGTATCGTGAGCTCCACTCGACTTTCGTGCTTGCAAGCTTCTGTATCGTCTACATTGCCTTGCAAACCTTTGCAATCCCTGGTCCTATTGTTCTGAGCATTCTGTCTGGGGCTATGTACCCATTTTTTCAAGCCCAAATTTTAGTTGCCTTTTGCGCTACAACAGGAGCCTCACTATGCTTTATGCTGTCTTACTTTTTGGGTCGCGGAGTCTTCAGCAAAGTTCTGGCAGGGATGATTCGACGCTTTAGTGAGAAGATCGCCCAAAATCGGAGTAATCTTTTCTACTACTTGTTGTTTCTGCGACTCACGCCTTTGCTTCCAAATTGGTTTGTCAATATTGCTTGCCCACTTGTGGGTGTACCGTTCAAGTATTTTTTTCTGGCCACCCTCATCGGACTAGTCCCGGCAAACTTCTTGCACATTTCGACAGGTGCAACCCTCAACAATGCCGCCGAGGCTTCAAGTGGAAGCAACGCAGTCAGTTTCGCTGCGCTCTTTTTATTGCAGTTTGTTGCCCTGTTGCCTACACTTTTCAAGGGCAAGATCGAGAAGTTCGAGAAAGAAGCGTTTGAAATGAAAGATAAAACGAAGTAGCACTTATGTTTAAAGTCGTACATTTGAATGGAACAACATATTCTTCGGATTATTTTGCGGAATCTGTGCTGTTAACTATTTTATATAACAAAATGCGACATTATGTTTTCAGTATCGCTTATTGCTGTACATCACTTCCCGCCATTCTGTTATAGAAAAGCCAAAGTACGCCAGCGCAAATTTTGAGTGCTGAAATAATCATGGCCATTGCCAGAAATTAGCGTTTGATCGGTTGTTGTACGCGCTGTTGTCGGATTGCTTCATTTAGCACTCACGACTTTTCTCCTTCTTTAAGAACAGATGCAAAATAAAAATATTTTACATGTCGATAAAAAGCAAATTAAGCATCTACGAGGTGAAATACTTCAACTTCATGCTGAGTTTTGATTGGGGTTCTTTTTCTCTTATGATGAGCTTGCAGACTGAATACACCCACTAAACATACTCTCAGCACGATAAATGACTCCTTCTCATTTCTCAACTAGCCATCAACACCCGAAGCGCTTTCACAACCACAGGGCCTGCCCACTTATTTGTTACTATGCCATCCCAGTCTGCACTCCTTGTTGGATCCAATGTGAGTAATACGTCGTCTTTGCTGGTCACCGAACAGTTGGACGGTCCGTCGCGTCGTCTGCTTAAGGCCCGCAGCCACCGGATGGACAAAGTAGAAATCCATACGAAAACGATGACCACAATTTTACTCTGCGAGACCATGAGATTTACTGTTTACAAACTGCAAATTCGCAGCACTGCGTGCTTTGCGAACAGTGGTGAGTCGACGCTTATCAAGCGCTACTCAGAGTTCTTTTGCTTCCGTCAGACGCTACTAAAGCTTCTTAAGAAGTGGGATCTACAGCTCCGTTGCGATAGTGAACAGCTACAAAACAGAGAGAGATTTAGCAAAGAGTTTGAATTGGTGTCGAGACTGTTGTTGCCAGCGCTCCAAACCCCCACATTTCCTCGCAAGCACATGCGTAGCGATACTATCACCATCATCAATGAACGACGCAAGAAGCTACAGCAGTTCGTGCGCACGATACTGGACGTGTACACAGATATTTCTTTAACTCTTTGTGACCCACAAATAAGCGATACTCGCAGCTTTTTCAATCTTAACGAGATCATTCAAGTGGTAGAAGAATTTATGGATATTTCTCCGCAACAAAAAGAGATCAATCGTCGCCAAACTGCTGCCGTGCTGGCTCTGGAAGATGTCGACAAAACCACTTCGGACTGCATAAAGCTCACATGCTCTATTTGTTTGAGTGACGAAGACCCGAAAAAGTTTGTGCAAGAAAGAATGGTAAAGCTTCCGTGCTCACATCACTTTCATGAAGATTGCGTCATTGACTGGTACAACACCAGCCCCACCTGTCCATTATGTCGGCAGCCTGCCCTTATAGATTAGTTGTGGTCATTTGCCAGTCAGTTATTCAATGCCAGAAAGTAAAATCAATGTTCATAATGTGTTTGTTTAGTTGTTGTAAGTTCGGGAGTTCTGTCAAAAATGATCATATATGCGCCTCATCTTTAGTAATCTAGCATATTTTTCATATTGCGTCGACTTAGTGATGATACAGTCTCCGGGCGAAATGTGCATTCTTGCCTCTCTTTGGCGTAAATTTCTTCACGAACTTTGAATCGTCGACGGATTCTGTCTTGTTTTGTACTAGAAAGCTTGAATGGCTTCGGCACCGTATAAATACGCGGTTCATACGACGTGTTTAGGGCAAACACCTTTTTCTCTCGCTCTTTCTGATCTGCATGCTGTTTGCGAGCGAGGTCTCGTAGCTCAAGAAAGCGCCCAAGGCCACGAACAATCACTGGCTTCTATTGCAATGAAATATGAAGTGTGAGAATATGAACAGAATCTGTGAGTGAGTTTAAACATCGTTACCTCTTCGGAAGTGTAATAGGGAGGTATTTTCTTCGTAGAAGACTTACCACGCGGCCTTACCTTTCGTAAGTTTGGCTGAAACGTACATTCTTTTAATTCCTTTAGCTCCTGAATGTTTCTCTTTGCCTCGATCTCGTCAGCTTTTGACTTGCGCTCCGCTTCAATTTGGTGAAGAAGATGACCAGACTGCCATTCCATCTTTTTCGATCGCGGCTCTAACTTCAGGGCTCTTGCGCTACCAATACGATACTTGGAAGCCACCAGTCTTGGCCGGAATGTGCATTCAGCTGTACTTGCTTCCTCCATCTCAAGTGCAATACGCGATCGAAAGCGTTTATTGGCGAAATGCTGCCTCATTACAGCTTTGGATGCCGGTGACTTGCCAGCAGTCGGCGGTTCATGTGGAGGCATGAGTTGCGATTTAATGTCAAGAACAGGATGCGAGAGTTCTTCAAGGGTTGACGATCTACCTAAAGCCTTTGAGATTGGATTTATTTCTGGCTTAAAGGTGTACTGTGCATGCTGTGCCTGCTGAATGCGCTGTCTCTTAAGCTCGGCTTTTCGATGATCATTATATGCTAGCCGATAAAGCTTTTGTCGACTACTCTCTGTGCTTCGATCAGGCCGTAATCGCCTAAGTACGTCGTCTGCGTTTCCAATATCCGGCTTAAAGGTCAGCTTTCCTCCCTGAGAATCGTCTCGATCACACAAACCTTCAAGTGTTTCTTGCCTTTCTAGATCACGCGAGCGAAAATAGTGTTGGCGAGCGACAAAGTCCATCTTAAACTCGGGCTTCTGCTCAACAATCTTCTGTGACGTTTCACTAATTTGCGGTGCGAAGGGCTGCTCATTTAACAAATCAAAGTATTCCTGCGTAGCATTTTTCCTCTGTGCTATCGCATAGGCGTCAAAAGCAAGACGATCTGTCACATGAAGAGGCTTCAATTTCTCATTCGTATCCTGCCTGAAAGCTTTGTTCAATGCAATTTGTCTGCTCCTGGAATTGATCGTTGGAACGAACAATGATGACCCGTATTTGTTCCGGTCTTGTTGCTGACGAACTTGCTCGATGTATTCAGCCTTATACCCACAATACTTGTTAGCTGATATAAAAATAGAATGTGCTTATTGACTTGGTACCTTTGCACGCTGGAGATCATAAACTCGAAGGTGAATAGGTTTGTAGTCGATTCGACTAATCATCGTCTTCGAGGTAGGATTGATCTTAGGCTTAAATGTACATTCCAGGAATTTTTGAGCTTCAAGTGCCTTTCGGGCTTGCTCCCGCATGTCGTAGCGCGCAGTGCCGTCCAAATGCAATCTTTGAATTGTACTTTGACTGCAATTTTCCTTATTTCCATTCATCATCTCATCCAGCGGTCGCAAAACCTTTTGACGAGGGCTAAGGGTTAGCCATTGAAATGCCGAATCAGTCCGAATATCATTACGCGCTTTTGAGATGGTCCGAGATGGTTTAGTGCAGTTAGGATGAAATGTACACTCACGGAGTTGCTCCATTTCAGAAACTATACGTTTTTTTTCGCGTTCTGCAAAAAGATCATTTCGAGATTGAGCCAGAACATCAATACGATTCAATGCTTTTTTAGCAGCTAATTGATGCTGATCGATGTGCATCACATCATGCAAACCCGCATAATAGTCTTTTTGGTGCTCATCGCTTGTCTTTTGTGGTGCTTCAACGCAATGGCGACTTTCGCCGAACGAGTCTGAAGTATTGCTTGGTAGTGACATCTCATTTATCCCTTCCATGTGTAAAGACATTGCTGATTCGTCTACAACGCGCTTGGTTTTAGGCAACGATACTGACAAAAGAGCCGAGGACGTTGCCGATGAAAAATCCGATAATTGTTGTGCATTTTTTATCACAAAAGGATGATCAAAATTTAATTTGGATCGACAGTAGATGTCATCATAGTTGCACTGTGCGCTTGATAAGACGGATTGTTTATCGTGGTTTTTTTTATCATAGATTCCTCTCTGCAAATTGTGGATACTTGAAGCGACGTCATGCTTTAAGCTATCTTTCGGCGCTCTATCAGTCAGCATATCATTAATACGCTCTTCTGCTGTCTCGTGCACTGCTTCGCCCAAGGTCCAGCTTTGCAGCTCGGCCTCAACCCCATTAATGGGAGCGACACGAAGTTTTTGTAGAGCAGATTTGCGCTCAGATGACAATTTGGCCAAAATTTCGCGTCGCCGCTCTTCCTGCATTGAAAACTACAGTCAATCTATATCATCATCCGCAAGGCATGCTTCAAATTATACCGAAAGAAATGGACGACCATGCGAACCCCATCGAGAGGATGTGTCATCTGGTGGTGACACATATTCCTTACTTTCGGTGCAAAACTCTATCAACGATTTAAGCAGAACGAACCTGGCGTCAGTCCCGTGGTTTCATCCTTCCGGGATGTTTTAGATACGGAATAGGGCTTCCCTGCGCTAGCGGCTAGATAAGCTTCTGCACTGAGAAGCTCTCTCTCCACCTGTGCCAAGCTCAGCTCCCGGTAAGTTTTCAGCCCGTTAGCCATGTTTTATTCACTCAAAGGTCGGCTGATGAAACCTCGAACTTGAAGTGGGACCATCATTCATGACCGATAGTTGAAGTTGCAGCCTCACTCCGCAATTTGCGGCATAGTATAATTGTCTCGGCGTAATCTATCTGGCGTGATGAGCAAACACAGCAATGTTCCCTTGCACTGGTCCATCGAAATTTATGACTACGAAAGGAAGGCGATCATGGATACAGCTGTGGGTGGCATCGATCTTCGTAAAGGCTGCTGGATCCATTGCAAATGGTGCAGTGCAGTGATTCGTGTACCCTAGAGGTGATTACTGATTTGATGGGATCAATTTGACTGTCAGGTGCAACTCAACATTAAAGACAACTCCTTTCTCACTCACAAGCTGGAAACTTCACGAAAGAAGAAAGTCGCATATAGTAAATGGGCAAAAATCTGCAGACAGTTGGTCCCGGCCCCAATCAACAATGAATTCTTCCCAAGCATCCACCCAAGGCTCAACATTAAGCCTTTCTGAGACCCCAAAGACTTCACTTGAATTTCATTCGTCCCAGGATATGAATTCGCTGACGCTTTTCAGACGGGACTTCTATCAAAACAAGCAAAAGCAGGATCGATACGCGCGAGATGTCACTAACGTGATTAATGCGATGACAAGTCTTGTATCCGAACAGCACAGCGACATAGAAACGCTCAATGATTTGGTGCTAGACATGCGGCGTGAAATTGAAGGGCTCAAGAGCCAAGTTGAAAATTTACGCCTCAAAAGAAAACAAGATATGGCAGCTTCTCGAAAAAGAATCAACAAAGCGAGCTTTCACGACTTCAACCAGATTGCAAGTAGGCATGTGCCCAGTGTGAGAGCTCAAAATCATAAGATTGCCTACGCAATGAATGCCGCGCCAAAAACAAACATGACAGATATGGATATATTTGAAAAGCGCTTTCGACTCTTGTAGTGAAAGATTATAGATTAATTCGGGACATCACGGACAGGGGTAAGCTACATATGTATCAGCAAAACTTAGAAAAAAAGCTTGAGCGTTTCTTCTTCTGTTTGTTCAATAGGGCAGGTGGGGCACTTGAATCTCCTACATTTTGCGTAAGGAGAATGAGGTCTTGGTCTACAATTCTATAATTTGACATAATCAAAAACGGAAACAAACCGGGTCATGTTGTAGGAGAATCGCTTGACACAGGAATGACAGATAACGTGACCACATTTCAGCAAAATAGGTGGATTGTTTGGCGTACTTTCTTCTTTTGAAACGGGGCACGAGAATACGTTATGAAAGCGAAATTCTTGCGGGATAGGGATTTCCACCTACGAACAAAGTTAGAAACTGGGATGTGTTTGCAAAACTTTGCCCTAAGCACTTACAGGAAGTTCTTCCATTCTATCCCAATCAATAAGCTTACTATCCGTAAGCGACACAAGCTTTTGCATAGCGGGTAGCGCAGAGACACCTGTCGATAAGCTTCAGAAAATGTAAGAAGGTATGAACCCTTATAGTAAATATGTCAACGCTGTGCATTGGATACCATATCCCTAAATAAGACCGGAACGGAACTCGACGAAGGCAGCACCAAGCATGCATAACAGTATCTTGAATTTTTTCCCATCGATTAGTTTTAAAAAGGGTTTTGTAGGGAGACTCCTCTAATTTTCCTTTAAACAGCACACAACTCATCAATACACCAACCTCTGTGCAACCGCCCACACTAGATGAGTTAGTACAAAACTATAAACTTCAAGAGGATCACTTCACCTTCAGTATGGGTGTGATGAAAGTAGGGAAGCTCCTTGTTAGCGAGATTAACTGCATCCATCATGTCTGCTGAAGACTCAAGAATATCCACATACTTGAGCCGAATCAGCTCAAACTCAACGTCAATATTTAGTTGTTCTAAATCTTTGCGGTGTTTTCGTGCCCAGCTAAAATATACCAGCGTGAAATACGTAAAGCCACAATGCACAAAGTCAAGTCTACGGTAACGAACGTACTCTAGAGCAGGTTGCATATCATGTATTCTTAAAGCTTTTAAAATTTGATGCAATTCGACGAAGCAGTTTCGGAATGTTGGAGGTAGCTCGAGGTTTGCCTCCTATAAAGCAATGCATCTAAGTCAATCACATTTCCAGCAATCGTAGCATATTAAATTTATACTACACCTTGCACATGGCGTCTGCTGCTTCGATCTGCCCGTCCTGATACAGATACTCTGCAACTAATTGGCACACAAGTTTTTGCTTCACTTCGTTACTGCGACACACCTTGCTGATGTCGGTAGAGAGGCTCTTTACACCAAACAAAAGTGAGCTGAGACCCGAAGAGACCGCCCATCTGCACTCACCTTATCTATCTGCTTAGAGAACTTTGACAGCAATACATGAATGGCCTTGAGCTCATTTGTCACATTTTGGTCGGCATTTAAATATTTTGCCCGTCTTATAAAGTCTCTAACAATGTGTTCGGTCTCGTCATCCTGTGTCTCTACTGCCACATCGTTTTGTGCGCTTGCACTTCCACACGGCATCCTTGAGTTTTCTAAAGGCTTTTCATAACCGACATTGACGAAATGGCATAAAGTTTGCGTTGCATTGCTACTGCTAGTCACCAGGTTGCCTTCGCCCATTGAGCTACTCGCAAAGTGACCATTTTTCTTGCGACTGAGTTCTTTTTGTCGATCCTCAAGCTGCTTTTTGGCGCTCCCGATCTGCGAAAGTAATTCGTCGAGTTGCTGATCAATATAAGCAACGCATTGACGTTGTTTCTTTAACACACGGTCGCTCTCTTTTTCCAACACCTGCATCACCAGCCTTCTAACTAGAGAATTGTGTTATTTTGATATAAAAACCCAATGTGCTCTTTTGATATAAACCCTTCTTCTTGTTGTATTTCGAATATCAGTGTAATTCAGCACTGTCTTTGTTTGACAATATATGAATGAGACGACCAAATGTCTCTTATATGAGGCTTTTACTTAAATTTGAGCTCATCAAAAACAATCCATCTAGAATACTTTTGTGAAAAGTTGCCTTGTCACAATCAAAACGTCTCCAACGAGCATGTTTCTGCTTAAGCCGCCATCCTCGTCCCCTGTTGCGCCCAATACTTCCTGTCGTCGTCTATGCGTGGGTCTTGTTGCTTGTGAGTGGAAGTACGTGGCTGAGGGCGGTGCCAACGTGCTATTTCGCCACCGACCGGCGGGAGAGGCGGCGTCTAGCGCTGTCGCACTGGATTTTAAAGGCAAATTGCTGCGTGTGAAGAAGTGCGATGTTGTGGATAAGCGCAGCAATGAAGCACAGTCGAAAACAAGTAATAGTAGTGTCTCTACCCCTGAGAAGCCATACGTACCGCATTACCCTCACCCGGGGCAGGTGCTGCATTATGCGGCGCACGAAATTATGCCTTACATGGAACAACAGCTACATAGTAACCACAAGGTCGCACCATCCGGTCGTCGGGAGAATACCTATTTGCAGGTAGCAGAACTGGTGGATGTCGAACGTGGATTTTTGCAGGCACTAAACATACAACTACTAACTCTTGAAAGTCGCCCAGAGCATCGACGACAGAGCCAAATCGACGTTTCATTGCAGTGCGTCATGGTATTACCTGATGTGACGTTGCCACCACCAGACGAACTTAGCACTTTTAGTCTAATTCAGTCAAGTAGGAGCTTGTTAGAAGACAACACCGAAGCAAATGACAATGATGACGAAGAAGAACAGGAGTCAATTCTAAATCTCCAGAAATCGATAGGTGATCTGCTGGCGGACACCAAAGCACAGAGTATATACGAATTTGATTTAGGCGAATCAGATCATTTTGAAGCAAATATCAAACCTGATGTTGTGTGCAGTAGCACAAGCGTCAGCAGTGCATCAGACAAGGACGAAGATGATGATTGTGAATTAAAAGAGACATTGACTACAATTTCGCATCCCCGAAGGCATTTATATGCTCATAACAGCTCAGAACATAGTTCGCTACGATCAGGCAACGTCTTTGACTGCTGCTTTCGCAATATTTGCGTGGAATTGAAGCCGAAGATTGGATTCAAACCAAAGGGTCCATTGACATGCCCCACTAAAACTCGTGTGTGCCGCTTCTGTATGCATCAACACTACAAAAAACACACTGGCAAGGTGGAGGAAATAAGTCAATACTGTCCTTTAGATTTGTTTTCGCAAGACCCAGCGAGAAAACGACGAGCGCTCAGGGCGTTGCAACGAACACCGCAGAATAACTTCAAGGTATTTGTACGCTCTGCAGAAGATGAGGTGGTTAATGTCATCACAGGGTTGAATGCAGATGCTTTGCCGAAAGGGGCAGCTCAGTCGCGGTATTCTTACTGTCGACGAAAGCAAATGGGATTGCGTCATTCATGCCAGTCTCTAGACGCTGAATTCGAAATTTCGTTTGATGACAATAAAGAACATGATCATGAGCGAGAATACGCACAATTGATGCCCGAAGTCGTTGCTTTAATTACACAAGTGTTGCAAGAGTTAGACATTCTTGAGGATCTTAAACAGATGCAATTGTTGGATCACATCTCGGTCGATGGTATATGGCATCTTCAAGTGTTACTGAATATGCTTGAGAAAGAGGATAAGACGATTCAATGTCAAGAAGTAAAGACGTTAAGTGAGCTTGTCGCAACGATTAAACATCGCTCTAAGTCTTCAGCTGATGATTCTGTTGACCAGAAAGGAAGTCTTGCCCGAGGATTGGCTTATCTTCGCATTGCTCTAAACCAATTGCCGGAGTTGAAGGAATTGCAAGGAATAGAATCATGGGAAACGATGCGTTTAAATCAGTTTCGTAATTTATACACTGAACTAGAGAAGAGGTTTCAAGTGGCGACTACATTAAAAGACTGCTCGTTGTTGTTGTGTTTGCGACGCTCACCTCGCGACGACGTCGATCAACAGGATGGGGTACAGGGCAAGATACTAAAGCCACGTTTTCAACACCTTGCCGAGTTTGAGCACCACGTGCGTTTTCGTGAGATGGTGTTTGATTGTGTGGTAGCAATCGTTGATCTGGACGTTAAGTCGCACAAGTCAGTTGAGGACTATTATCGACTGGATGAGAAGATAACGACGAACTTTCAACGCGCGTTCGGTAGTCTTGGCGTCGCACAAATGCTCTGTCACGAAAGTTGATTGGCTCAGTCTCAATGCTATGACATGACTTATCACCCGTCGCATGCACGCAATTTAAACGTAACGCATGAACGAACGAACATGTGTTGCATATAAGTCGTTTATCCTCACGTGGATGAGTTGTGTGAGCGACTAATGCTTTGTTAGAGATAAGAAACACATTCGTGTTACAGTACGTCAACAATATGCCGAGCGTTTCTTGTATTACGTTACGTTTCCTTTTTCACATTGAACTTGGTGATTTTGGTGTGCAATTCTTGTTGCTTATGACGCACGCGAGCCGATTCGTGTTGAAGAACTGCTACTCGCGACGGATCTACATAGTATCAGGGGCGACAGTGCGTGTAGCGAAATAACATGGTACGCCAGTCAGAATATCACCCACGACAGATAACTAAGCTGGTCACTACTGAGCTTGAAACGCACCGTTAGCGGCTGCAAGCATTTGTTTGTGGTGGCGATGTGTTTTGAATTCGCGGTAGCGCTGACGTCCTACATAAAAGAGAATCGCGGAGCCCAACAATTTCCAGCCATGAGTCTCAAGCAGCCACTGCACATACATCCAAAGCACCGTGACGCTTTCCATACTTAAAACAGACTAGTTACGAGTTCATGTCCTTTTTTTCTATTTTGCTTAAAGATACGCTTTTTCGAAACCGAGCAGATCCGTACAACAGTTGTCGGCGAGGGCTCCGGACTTATGCCTTTCGCCAGAATGTGAAGTCGCTGATTGTCGCCTGGACTCTGCTCCTCTAATTTAAGAGCACCGCATTTATCGATCTGGCTTAAAACGCCGAAGCGTCGAGTACTGGCGAGCGTTTTTCGCGACTCTTCACACGCAAAAGCCGGTCAGTCAACGATTCTTGCGTGAGATCGCGACTTGCAGCAACAGCCCATGACGACTGCCCGCTCGCGTCCTGTCGCGTTTGTCTGTGTCATTCTGCGATATCTTGTCAACGTCCCACATTGCTTGACGGACCTCTTAGTGCGAATGGCAAATCAAGTAGTGCATAACATGCGATGCTTAAATTCATTCGATCAGACACAAATGCTAGCTCATCAGAAGAACGCCGAGCTATTAGATACTACGTATAGCGACACAGAAGCTCCCGAGGAAGAAATAAGTGACTTGTCTTCAGATGAAGATGAGATTCAGAAAGAAAGTAGCGAGAAGGAAAAGATCCCAACACTTGTTAGCACAGCACAGAATCAGCTGTTCGACGGTCTACAATTCTATCTGGCCGTTAGCCAGGTGCGCGAACACACTGTCAGGTCCGTGCTGACGCTGGGTATGACCAAGACGTTGGCAACATTAAAGGAGCGCAGGCACGATAAATCCATTGCAGTAATTGAACAGCGATACCCCGACTTCACATGCTTTCCTATACGCACTAAAAACGCGGCCGTACAACCGATTTCTAAAGTTGAGCAACCACCTCTCGACTTGCTCGCGGCGCTACAGCTATCACCAATAAGAGCTACAGCACACACTCAATCTTGTACTAAAGTCGCAGCGAGATCTCACCTTGCTGGGAATGAAGAAGGACGGGCACGTCGTCCATCACTATCACTGCATGGCCCCAACATTTCTCGGGTCGCTTAGGCAAGATGTAGATCCTTGTGTCAGATTAATAATTTTGCAACTTCATAATAAATAGACAGACTAATAATTTTCGTTATTTTATTGTCGCTGCCGTTATTAGTGCGGTAACTAATCTAAAGCCTGAAGATATATGAACAAAGAGCAACAGTAGTCTACACTCTTTTTCATGAAAGCGTATTTCTTATCCAATCCGTTACAGTTTCTTTTACTATCATCAAGTCGTTTTGCATCTGCGCATAGATTCCTGCAAGCTCGGTAGACATATTTAGATATTTTCTCAGCAGAGGTACTAAGTATGAGACAGTACGTTCTTGTATATTGCACTGATAGATACGGGAGACCATCAGCAATTGATGTCATCGCTGGTTAGTCATAAACATTCTCTCGCTCTCGGCACCAAGCCCTTCATTTTTGATTTTTGTTTTTGTATGTACCCGATAAATGTAACCAATTACTGATTTTCATCATGCATCTTCACATTCAGTGACAGCAAGTGCAAATGTTAGGTCGAGGAAATGGTCGTTGTTTGACTTCTGAATAAGTTTAAGCCACAATTAAAGTCTAGATTGCTACCTTTTGGCGAAATGAAATCGCAGTTTAGGAACCCATTAGGACTCCAGATAAAATTAAGCGAGACAATCCAGTGTGGTGGTTCAATTCTGTAACGGGGGTAATTGTATAGTCGTGAAATACCAAGGTATTGCTCCGTAAGGAAAAGATCCCCTCATATCAGATAGCAAAATAAATGATTGTAAAATATCAAATAAATTGTTACTATTTTGAACTGTTAACATCATTATTTTGTATCAAGGGACACTATGGTTCATACGGCTATATAT